AAAAAAATAATTACATTTACCATTTATTATATCAAAAAGATACGATATCACACACACCACAGGCAGGACTGACTCAGTAAAAAAAAAAAAAAAAAGCAAAGAAAGAAAACAAAAAAATACAAGGAATAAAAATCAAGAAAATAGACGATAAAAAAAATTACATTAAGAGCGCGTAAAAGGTTGCAAGTAATAATTTAAAACGCAGAGGTTTTGCGATAACGAGACAAATGTCCTGAGTCAGAGAGAGAGAAAGAAAAAGAGAGATATATATATAATACTTTAAACGACCGACTATAAAAATCCATTTTTTGCTGTAATATCTACTTGCTGCGGCGTGATTCTAATAAGTACTAATCATTTACCAATTATATTAACAACCAGCAGCCAACATCACATCCACGTAAACCTAAACGTAAACGTAAAAAAATAGCAAAAATTAGTGACACGACTAAATCGTATTTAAAAAAAAAAAAAAAAAAACGAAAAAATGAGGAAAAAAAGAATAGAAAAAACGCAAAAAAAAAACAATAAATATACCTTGGTGTAATTTATTACAGATGGTTCCATGTGTGGTCCTGTCTTTAAAACCGACCGCCCTTTACCTTCATTTCCTGTTTTACAGTAATCCTTCCCCCTTTTTTGTTTTCAATCGATTGAATAAGAATTGTATCTAGTTTTATAAATTTGTTTAATGGGCATATATTAGTAGTTTTGTTTATCGTTTAGTGCAATATTGCAAATTAAGATCGTTGAAAAAAAAAAAGAGAGAAAGTAAAAAAGGGAAATGAAAGGATGAAAATGGGAGGAGAAAATAAACGTTTAAAGTATTTTTTTTTCTGCGGTATGCTCTGGTCGTAAAAAAAAAAAAAAGAGAAAAACCAAAAAAAGAATAAGAGTACTTATATAACAAGTTTAGCAGCTACTTAAAAATATCGATTACTATATAATTGTATACATTTTCATTTTTATGAGAGACCAATGTTAAACTCGTGCGTATATTTATATATATATATAGTATACAGTACACAGGTATAATTGAAAAATATTGGCACAACGATGATTTGGATAGATTTTTGTTAATTTAATATCGCCATAAAATAATAATGATGTATATATTCTGATTATTATTCGAGAATCTGTAATTTAAAACTTTTATCGCTGGACTTAAGAGAAAAGAAGAAGTGGTGTTGTATTTAAATGATCATGTTTATTTAAATGTATGCCTTATATACGATCCACGGAGCTTTCCCGAAAAATTTTCATCTAATTATATTTGAATGGTTTATTTAAAAAAAAATAATTAAACTTTGTAACGTGCATTATTATTAGACTGAGAAGAAAAAGAAAGAAAAAGATATTAAAAAGAAAAATCAATCTTCAAACACACGTATTCAACCAAAAAATAAAAAAAAAACAAGGACACAGAGAAATAGCATTTAAGACTCGCTCGAATACAAGAATAATTACAATTACATTCTGTTAACCCTTTACATATGTTTAAAAAAAGAAATTTTGTCTTATTCGAGTTTCTGAAAAAGAAAGAAAGAAAGAGAGAAAAAGAATATGATAAAAAATAATAAGAGAAGATGAATCATGGTGTATCTGATAAATAATTTGTCTTGTCCCTTGTTTTATAGTCTAGTTTCGAATATGAAATAATCCCATTTGGAATATGAAATATAATTTTCATTTATTCATTCGTATATTATTATTATTATTATTATTATTATTATTATTGTTATTATTATTATTATTATTATTATTATTATTATAATTATAATTATTATCATCATATATATTTCATCATCATCATTTTTCTTTCATTATTAAAGCTATATTCTTTGCACTAAAAAATATATTTCTAGACAATTAGTATAATATTTAATGGTATTTGTGGTATATTTATATGTTTCATCATCGATTTCTTTATATTAGAGATACAAAACATACATGAAAAAAAAAGATCAAGGCTCGTACCATAAGTTAAATTAATACAAGCTTATATCAAATAAAATATGTTATTCGTATTCTTTTTTGTTTAATTTTACTAAGAAGATTGTTGTATATGCCGAATTATTAGTTTATTGATTTTTTCACATTGTCTATGAATTTTCAATTGAACAAACGACAATCTATGTATAAATATCTTGTCAGTATTATTATTTCTTGCATAATCAACTTTTATTTTGGCTATAGTTATTAAAAACAATGAAAACTTCTTTTATCACTGTCAATAAAAGCTCTTCCTAAAATTATTTACAGTTATATATTTACCGCAGAAAAGTTGGCATAAAACCTGAACAGCAGAAAAAAATTATTAAGTACTATAAGTAATTGTACATTAACTGCATATTTAAAATCTATAATTGCACACTTTATTAATTAATTATTTAATAAGTTATTAGTAATTGAAAATAAAAAAAACCTTTTTTCCCATTTTTAAGCAAAGCAATGAAGTTTTCTATTGTTTTTTGTTTTCAAATAATTGTACACTTTTTGTTTGTCCGTTTTTCTCCGGTCATTCTAGCTGCAATATAATATCAGTTCTATTTTTAATCTAGTAAGTCTTTTTCCTGTACCTGTTCTAAGACAATCGTTCTTAACGAGTAAATTAATTTAATTATTAATTAAAACAAAATATCTATATTAGATTTCTAATTGTTGTTTGTTTTTAAATGTATGTAGAATTTAATTACACGTTAATTTTGTGTACACTACTTGCTATTAAAAGTTACTAGGAAATAAGAAAGTTTAAAATATATTGAAATCTAGTAACCTTTTTAGCAGCATATCGGTAATAGTAGTGCTCTACCTTTATCTTGCCAACAATCGGGATTCGATGGTAACTTACCATTAGATCTTTTCAGTCGGTAAGTCGTATCTAAAATAATACATAATTTTGTTTAGTGTAATTCAATTTTTTGAGAATAGGGAACTTTCCGTTATGTTGGTAGACAACATCCTAACAGAACATTTTAAATGACGAATTACTTGGAGAATCCATGTTTATTAGTTGTGCATAGTGTACTGCATATGTGATTGAGAAACATGGCTAGTTCTTCGAGGTAAGTTAAATCATTTTATATCCCGTATATTTCCATTTTATTAATCATTTATTGTTATTATGAATGTAACATTTACCTGCAAATTATATTCGCTACAAATAATTTAAATAAGGGTTCAAGAATTAGGTCTAACAATGTTTGAAATAAATCTTAGAGGTTATGACTTAACTGAATTATTTTTTATGAATATTTATACATTCATTATTACAAGATTTATCAAAATATTATTTCATATTTATTTAATTATTACGATGTCTTTTTTTATTGTAAAAAACTTTGAACGGTGTCGTAATAATTTATATTCTAATGACATATAATTAGTTATAGGTAAATGCATCATTATCATAAAAGAGATAAATAACAAGTAAAATACATTATGTAAAAGGTTTTTAAATTTTACAGGCATGACACAAACAAGGTATGTTGTTATGCACATCCAGATGCACCGCTTATTGAAGATTACAGAGCTGGAGATCAAATATGTTCAGAGTGTGGATTAGTAGTAGGTGATAGGTGAGAAGAAAATACAGTATAAAGATAAATAATAATGTTCAATAATCTAAGACTAATTAATTTATCTCGATATTAGAGTTATTGACGTAGGTTCCGAGTGGAGAACATTTAGTAACGAAAAAGCTGGCGTTGATCCATCGCGTGTAGGTGGTCCAGAGAATCCGCTGCTAAACGGGTCAGATTTATCGACTATGATTGGGCCTGGAACCGGTGCTGCTTCTTTTGATGCCTTTGGTGCTTCCAAGTATCAAAATAGACGTACTGTTAGTATTACATATTTACTATGTATTTGTATTTCATCGACAAGATCTATTAATAACTAAATATATAATTCCAGATGAGTAGTTCTGACAGAGCGTTGATTAACGCATTTCGTGAAATCAATGGAATGGCGGATCGTATTAATTTACCTAAAACCATCGTTGACAGAGCTAATAATCTTTTCAAACAAGTACACGATGGTAAAAATTTGAAAGGACGTGCTAACGACGCTATTGCATCAGCCTGTTTATATATCGCGTGCAGGCAGGAAGGTGTCCCACGTACTTTTAAAGAAATTTGTGCGGTTAGTAAAATTAGCAAGAAAGAAATTGGTAGGTGTTTCAAATTAATATTGAAAGCGCTTGAGACAAGCGTGGACCTCATCACAACGGGAGACTTTATGTCAAGATTTTGTTCAAATCTTGGTCTTCCAAATATGGTACAAAGAGCTGCAACGCATATTGCAAGAAAAGCAGTGGAGATTGATATTGTACCTGGAAGATCACCTATTTCGGTAGCTGCAGCTGCCATTTATATGGCATCACAAGTATGCATATTTTTTTAATACAAAGAAATGTAAATCGTAATATTGAAATATAATATTTTTATTTCTTCTTCTTTTTAATATACAGGCTTCGGAAGACAAGAGATCACAAAAAGAGATTGGAGATATTGCAGGTGTTGCAGATGTCACAATCAGACAATCTTACAAGCTCATGTATCCGCATGCAATCAAATTATTTCCTGAAGACTTCAAATTTGCAACACCCATTGAACAGTTGCCGCAAATGTGAAATGGAAAATATTCTCTTGTCGTGCTTTTGGTCGATCAGAAGGACATTTTCATATATCATAAATATGATAGTATAACAAATATAACTTTTTCGAATATAGCATACATTCCTGAAATAATATCTTGATAATTAAATGCTACAAGTCTCTTATTTTCTTTTTTTTTTTCTAAGATAATTTCATTCAAATAATAGCAGCTTCCTAAAAAACAAGTACAATAAAATTTATAAATTGGATTTTAATAATTTACTTGTGTGCGCACATTGAACACATACTAAGGAACTTGTTAATTATATATTTAACATGAATATATGACCAAAACAGATTTAAATCATCGCTAAAATATAAAGTTTTAATTGATTTTGCAATTATTTTAAAAATTGTTTTATAGAAATTGATAATTAAAGCTATCATTTCGGTCTCAGTCATTCAATGTGCAAAAATTGTATATAATTCATATATATATTTAAGAAATGGTAATAAGTATAACGGGAGTATCAATGTGCTATATTAAACGAATATATTTTCAAAATATTATTCGTTTATCAAATTGATAATATTCTCCAGTAACTTGTACCTGAAGTAATTATTATTACAGAGTACGCTGGTAATTAATTAATGAAAATTGATATTAATACAGCACAATGATTCTCTGGCTACATTCTTTATAAAGCACCAAAAAAGGAGCGTTTGTTGCCTTATCTAGAAAACTTAAGAAAGAAATAGTATTAGAAAATAATTATACAAAACTATTTGACTTTGAGAAGAAGCATAATAAAGATAATATAATATTTTATCTAAACGATGAAAATGATATACGTAAGAACTAATTAACCTTTTCGTTACTAGCGACCCATATAAGAATCATATACAATACGACGATACATAAGTGTGAACAAATTTATGCGAAACGATATTTGCATGCCATAACGAAAGGGTTAAATGAAAATCTTATCTTGTAATAACATACATTGAAATAATAATAATTCTATATTTATATTTGTGTAAAGATGAGGAACATTGAAAACTTCCAACTTAGATAAGACTGGATAATTTATATACATTATTAAAAAATAAATAGAAATATATATGGCAAATAATAATAATAATAATAATGTAATTCATTTATATAATTTATAAAGGAAAAAATGTAAACATTATAAAACTGGGTTAAATTGAAAAATGAGTATATTAATCGTATTATATATTCGCCGTATATTAAAAACGAGAATATATATATATATATATCTTAATATAACAGAGCATGAAAATAGTTTCAACATTATTTATGTATATTTAATAGAATGAAAATGATTATTTGAAAATACAATTAACCCTTGTTAGCTGTATTTAGCATAATTAATCAATTGAACTCACACTTGCAATAAAATATTCTGTTCCTAGAAAGAACTTTGACCAAAAGTATTTGGCACTCAAAGGGTTAATTATATTTTATGAGATAATATTCTCTTTGAAAATATGTTTCCTTGGTAGATTTGTTCCAACTTTCAACAAATATAAAATCCATATTTCTTTTAATAATAGTAGTACAAAATGTGAATCTTTTTTGATATCATTCGAAGACTTATGTTCCTTTTTTTTTTAAATAGTAATTTTAATTATTGACATTCAAGGTAAAAAATAAGTTGACTTAATACTAAACATATTGGCAAGTAGATCGGTAGTGTTTTTTGGTATTATTGTACGTATCCAGGATTGTATGGTGCCTGTCTAGCATAAGGTTCAATGGTATATGCTGGTGGTGGCTGTGGCTGTGGCATACCTATGAAACAAGAAATACAATGGAAAAATCATAATTTATTATTTTTATTTATAGAAAAAATAATTCTATAAAACATATATTTAAATAAATGATTATAAATTACCTCCAACAGTAGTTGGTGGATATGGCGTATAAATATTTTGCGGTGTTTGATTGGCATAATTAGATGGTGGAGGATTTGTTGAAGTTTGTACCACTTGAACGACACTTGGTGTTTGTACTTCTATAACAAAAATTAATGTACTACTATGTTCTCGCAAAACAATATTTCAATTAATTTCCCATTTTCAGAGACAGCGGGCGAATATTTAATTATTATAATTTACATTAGAAATGTGTGGGGTATTCTTAAATAAAAGAAAATAGGAAAAAATTAAAGAGTAAAAAGCTTAGTACCGAAAAGAGATTTTATATATTAAGGATAAAAACGAACATAATTTCATTTGAGAATTTTTTTTATTATTAAAGCAATACAAAATAATAGCTCGCGTTATTTATCATTCATTACATTCATGTGTGAGAAGCATATTAT